AGAGAGAGAGAGAGAGAGAGAGTGTCAAATGACTATTGTGATAATAAACTATCACATTTTTTAATTTGATATATTGATTATATTCGTGTATTTAGTATTATGTAATATATATATATATAAAATACTAAAATATGTTGCTTGAGATTAAAATTGATCGCGTAAAAAAAAATTAAGATCTATGATAAGATACATCGAGCAAAGCTGTTAAACCGTGTTTTTTTATATGAATTGATAAGAGCCATAAATATATATGCGGAACAACACCTTCATACAAATACATGCGCAGCTACTCGGTTCAATGTTCAACACGCGAGATTAAATACCTATATACAAACGTCATATTTCCACGTATAGACTAGATACTAGATACTCGGATGACTTGCGGGAAGAAGTTGTTATTCCGTTATCACTGGCAACTAGATCAAGTCGTTCGAAAGTGGCAATATTTCTTGCATCGTCTTTCGTTGACGGAGATCATTTTAATTTTAAGCCCACAGCGAGACAACTTTTAATGTCGATGTATTGGAGAAATGCGTTCCAAATGTTATCTTTAATTAAACGCTGCCCTAAAACCGTTAATCTAATGGATGAAAAATAAATTGGCATTTATCAAATACGTAATTCAAATCGTTAATTCACGAATGATAAAGGAGATGTATATATGTCCAATAATTTGTGACAATGATTTTACGATTGTATAATTCAAGAAGATCGCAAAGGGCAGATCTCTATAATGCTCATGTCGAGTTCGTCGAATCGGAAACTGGTTGTGCAACTTTCGATGGGACATCGGTGTAGAGATCAGCTTCAGAGAGCAGCACCCTAGTTTATCGAGAAATTTTAATTCGAAATTATTTCTATACTCTATAGTCACACGAAAAAACGGCTTTATGAAGAAATTTAATTTAATCATTTAGGATTTAAGGAGGTTGGTTGCCGTCACGTTGCGGGGCAGGTGGCGAGGCAGGGAAAAGCCTATAGGTGGGTTTTTGTCGCGTAAAATAAATGAGTTTTAGCAAATAAATATGTAGAGTTTTTAATAAGCTGTTTCTTAAGGTTTTAAATCGTTGTTTGTACAATTTGAAATCTAAATACGTTATTATCCACGTTGTGGCAACATGCTGTTTTATTTTTACAATTTTTTGATAACTATGTAGACAAATCATTTCAGTCTTCATAAAAGTCCTTTCTAAATATGTAAAGAATTACTTGTACCTAGGTATTTTCATTAAATTCTCATCATTTTTAATATACTTTTGAGAGTTACATTACAGGTGTCGTAACATTTTTGCTATGTCGCCCGTGTATAAGAGAGAGATAAGAGTATAATTTCAATAATTAATTACTTGACAACCATGTAGGCAATTGTGTTCAACTTTGGCATGGACGACAGATTCCCATAGGGCATAGACGAATATCCTTCATAAAGAAGTAATTCTTATCGCATTGATTTGAGCAACCGACCTCCTTAATTTGATTTGATTATTTAGCTATTATCTAATTTAATTATTTATATTTAGCGTATTGATTGAATTTGCATAGCTCGTGTTGTTATCGAAATTCATTTGCATTCGTTAATATGAAAATTTATTAATTTTTAAATAGTAATTCGAGTTTATTATTTGCAGAAAACTTCTTTCTAAGCGATCCGCTTCTACATGATAAAATTCCTGCAAAATACAAGAGTCACAAGGAAATTTATGAGGATGCGATAATGAAAGGATGCCGAGTATTACAGAAAGTGCAACAATTACACGACTCAGGGAAAGGTGGCATGGACGTTTTCTCGTAAGATATTTAAACACGTAATAATATGTTTTATATGTCGTTACACTATGAAGAAACTGTATATTAAACATAATGTTTCAAGTTTAATGTTTTATAACAAAAATATCATTCACTCTCTCTCCAAGTATGATTATTATTTATAAATATATTATATATATTAATCGAGATAATATTTAATTTCATTCAAAGTTTAATATTCCATGCGAGGAAAAATATTTTAAAAAAATCTAAAAAAGCGTCATTTGACAAAAGCATTTGTGGTGCTCTGTAGACAAATTTTAGGAGGCATGTTAGGCTCGGCGATATTGAAGGACGGTAATCCGCTGACACTGCACTACGTGATGTTCATACCGGCTATTATGGGACAGGGCACTGTCGAACAGCAAGGATACTGGATATCCAGGGCTTGGAGCTGTAATCTCATCGGTACTTATGCCCAAGTATGTTTCTTACTAATCACAAACTTGTGATTTATAATTTTCAATATATATATATATATGTATCTTTAATTCTGACTTATTTTTGGAATAATAAAAAATGTGTTCTTAGACGGAGCTTGGTCATGGCACGTTTATTAGAGGTTTAGAAACTACAGCGACTTACGATCCTGAGACCGGAGAATTTGTATTAAATAGCCCGACTTTGACATCGTACAAGTGGTGGCCTGGTGGTTGTAAGTATTTTTGTTCAAAATAACATATATTCGAATCTCACTCTTCAGGCTCATAGAAAAGAAAATACTTTCAGTGGGTCAAACGGCAAATTATGCGATTGTCGTCGCACAATTATATACGAAAGGAGAGTGCAGAGGTATCCATGCTTTTATTGTGCAACTTAGGGACGAGAATACTCATGAACCTTTACCAGGTGCGTGAAATCATAAACGTATCTTACAAGTAAACTTTACATCTTTCGCTAAATTCATCGCGTTTACGAACGACAAAAAAGATTCATGTTAAAAGATTTACCTTCATTCTCAGGTATAAAGATTGGTGAAATTGGTACCAAGTTAGGAATGAATGCAACTAATAATGGCTTTCTCGGTTTTGAGAACGTTAGAATACCGCGCGAGCACATGCTGATGAAAAATTCTCAGGTAATAGGAACAGAGAGAGAAGGCGAGGCATATTCACGATTGGTTATTTAATGACAAGTCTAATGGAGAAGTTTAAAGGTCTAATTATCCGATATTTTCAGGTATTAGAGGATGGAACTTACGTGAAAGCGCCTAGTGATAAACTGACCTATGGTACAATGATGTTCGTTCGAGTGGTATTAGTACGCGATATTTCTAACTACCTGTCGAAGGCGGTGACAATAGCTATTAGATACAGCGCAGTAAGACGTCAGAGTCAGATAAAGCCCGAGTACGTGATACAAGAATAAATTAAAATAAAATCTGTAATCAATTTAAAAAGTTTATCTTTATGCTATTTTATGCTGTTACATTTTTTGACGTATTGCTTGATTTCGAAGCACATAATGAAGACATAAAGTTTCGTACAAGTCGTATTGGATTTGCTTTACTATCTTTTGTTTTTCGCTCAGTCTGAAGGTCGGTTAAAGATGGATAGTAATTAGACTAATAATTTCATTATTCGGACTCTCTTTGGCAAATAGCTTAAATTTGAATATATTTTGTTTATAGACTGTTTTGTTTTTACAATTCTGATAGTAATCTTGAATACATTTTCTTCTTTCTTTTTCTATTAGCCAATATAAATGCCAATATACATGTACATTTCATTATCTGTGATAGATTTGTTGGAATAATTTTTCATGAAAGTATATCTTAATGTAACTTTAAAATATTTTCAATTTATTTCAGCGAGCCCGAATCGCAAATTATGAATTATGTTACGCAACAATACAAATTGTTTCCCAATCTTGCTGCATGTTTCGCATTTCGAATGTGCGCCGAATGGATTTGGGAGATGTATAATAATGTGACAGCTGAATTAGATCAGGGAGAGCTAGAGAGACTACCTGAGGTATGCTACAATACATTATTATAAAAATAGAAATTGTATAATTGCTGTCTTAAATTCCGTGTAATAAAAAGATTGATTTAGAATTCAATAATTTTCGTTATTACTAGAAAAATAAAATTATATTTTTCAGCTGCACGCGCTGGCATGTTGTCTAAAGGCAGTTGCATCATCAGACGGAGCTACTGGCATTGAGCAATTACGATTGGCGTGTGGTGGACACGGTTATATGGATGCGAGCAACTTACCGGCAATTTATGGTTTAGTGACTGCTACTTGCACTTACGAAGGCGAAAACACAGTTCTGCTATTGCAAACGGCAAGATATCTGGTGAAAGCTTGGAGACAAGCTGTTGGCGGTGAACCGCTACCTCCGACTGTCGAATATTTAGTTGTTCTTTCACGTGGAGTAAAACAGCGTCCTTGGAAAAATACTTTAACGTGTATTGTGCAAGCGCATCAAGCAGTTGCCGCAGGGTAAATATGCACAAAGAAAATCGATATTTACATATAAAAACTTAGTAATGATCGCAAAAAGGAGCATTGCAACATCATCGCAATCTATAATTTATAAATGTTTTTATAGTAAAATTCGTCTGGCGACGGAAAACATGGACCGTAGAATACGTAGTGGTGCGTCACCAGAAGAAGCGTGGAATCAAACTAGCATTGAATTAGCGCATTGCGCAGAATCGCATTGTCGAGCTTTCCTAGTGATGCGATTCGCTGAGAATGTCAGAGGATTGACATCCGCGTCCAAGCAGCTTCGCGAAGTTTTAATGCAGCTTTGTGAATTGTACTCGATATATTGGGTACTGCAACGCCTCGGAGATTTTCTTCGCGTTAGTACCACATGCTTGTTTAAAATTAAAATTACCATCATAATTTTGATAAGTATCAAGTCACTTCATTAACACGATGCATTTTGTAACAGTTTTCCTGTCTAAATAACGAAGATGTTCCGGCGCTCCAAACGCGCTTCGAAGAGATGCTCGCTGCAATCCGCCCAAATGCTGTCGGTATCGTCGATGGATTCGACATTCGCGACGAGATCCTCTCATCCGCGCTTGGCGCATATGACGGCAATGTGTATCAGCGTCTCTTTGATGAAGCGATGAAAAGTCCTTTAAATCAGGAGAGTGTCAATCAATCCTTCCATAAATACCTCAAGCCTTTCCTTAAAAGTAATTTATAGTCATATTATGGTTATCATAAAATAGTCAACAAGTTCTAATATAGATATATATATAAGAGACCATTTTAACATTTCAATAAATTTGCATGGCAAATCTGTCAACACTGTTAAAAGTTATCTTGTAAAATTTCCGGGACATGTTAATAATCATAATAATTGCAAATGCTGCAGTAAATTTGTGGTAACTTTAAAGCATCTCTTTTCTCATAGCAGTTATATTGAATTATAATGTCAAGGTATCATGATTTAAAAAAATCATTTTTAAGAATATTTTTCTTACAATATAAATCAAAATAAATTAATTTTTTTGTGTGCTACACACTTAATAATAAGAGATTGATGAAATATACAAAATCTTTTTTGGTTCGTGGATTGATAAATAGTTGTAAATTAAATCAATTTTCACAAGACCTATTTTTGTTTGAAATGTATGTATATTTAGATAAAATTATATCTAAATGCAGATTTAGATGTAAAAAAAATCGCTTCTAGCATATTTTAGCAATTCATATTATTAAACGAGAGTGACAGTACATAAAAAACTTATTTTTTTATGCATATTGCAAAGAAAGTTTACATATCAATTCTATATAACTATAGTGAAAAAACAGAAACTTTAAGTATTACAAAAACGTTTTGTTCACTTTTTTATAATAATAATATAAATAATTCGCACAATATATTATATATTGGTATTATATGGAAACGCACACATATACAGGATGTTTCTTGCATGTCATAATTCTATCAATGCTTCAGGGATGAATTTAGAAAAAAAATAAAGAATATATGAATATAAATTGTTTAGGCTTCATTTTTCGAGTACACGCACATACTTTAAAAATTCCCTTTGATTTATTGTAATTGAGAAAATAAAGCTTAAACGACTTATTTTCATTGAAACTTTTAAATTCACTGCCTGAAGCATTGATACACAATTAAGAATCATCCTGTATTCATTAGTATTCCATAAAACGTTTGTCTCTTAAAAGACATTTTTACAAGACGTAATTTATCAGAAGTACGAAATTGATGGAAATGTATTTGTCTATTATACATTTATCGGCATCTGTATTAATACATTGTTTTATGCATTATGTATAAAGTATTTTCTACGTTCATAAATCAATCCTTAAAAAAAAAAGATTGATATTTTTGATAGAGAGTGATATTTTATGAAATATAAATATTGTATATGTGAAATGGGAGGACACATGCGAAGTATTGTTTTGCAAATGATAATATTAATAAAAGAAAATGTAATTTTTACGGTTAGATGTCCTAGTATGTATTTACAGATTTACCTTTGAGAATGTTATATCGCGGTAATTTCATGTAACTCGAAGGTACGAATACATATTATATTTTGATATACATAAATAAAGTGCAAATAATCTTTCTTCGTTATTCCGGTGTACGGTTTTACGATTTCCTGAACTCCACGCAACATTGTATGAACTGGAAGAGATGTTTTTCGTATCTCAAAGAAGTTTCCAACGCGTTTCCTTAGACGGTATAGTATTTATTTACAGAATAGGAGCGACGACATACATTATTGTTGGTTATTATACTAATATAATGCAATTATTAATTCCCGTTAATTAAGAATAACGTAATAATTACTTTGATGTCCGCAACAGCGATAACATGGATATCCCATCTTTTGCATTCGGTAAGAAGCTGCTCGTGTCTTGCTGGCCCGTCATTATTGCGATTATATACGTACGGTGGTAGGAAGTTGAGTTTTAACTTTCAGAAGGAAAACGTGGGAGAATGATATATAAAACACTTTAGTGAGAAAAAACCGAAACAAATGGCGTTTTATCGCAGTTGCGCGAGCGAGTATAATATATCTATATATTTATATATAAGTACATATACATGTATATACGTATTTTGTGGGTTCGTGCATAGACGGATATATACACATATATGTAATATAGACCAGTTAGGGAACAATAGGAAAAGGACGAAGAGAAGGAGGAGGAACGGGAGAAGGAAGAAGGAAAGTGGAGCGATGGGATGACAGTACTTACACTTAAAAAATAACATTGTTAATATTATCGTTATTATTAAATATTAATCCACTTTTAAAATTATTTTCATTCGTCCACCTGGCCTATGGGCTTTTTTGCCTAGTATTAGACAGACTTTTCATTGCTATAGTGTTCTTACGGTATTACGTCTTCTTATAAAATATGATTTCATTACAATTATTATTTTTCTTCTCCTCTTCGCTTAATTTCTCTCAGACGTTAATTGGCCGCGTGGTAGAGCGTAAGCTAGCAAAAGCTAAGGCAAGCGACACCACGAGGTCAATTAATTACTATCTACCGAACAATTTCATCTATATCGTGTGATTATTAATAAAGGTTACGAGCCCCCAATTTCTAGGTTTTTCCTCGTTTACTTCACACGAGACGAAGATTTCCAAGAAAGAGAGGGAGATTAAAAAGATGACAAAGAAAAAAAAAACAGGAACATTATAGATAGATAGATAAAAGCATTTTGCATAACACTGTATTTTTAAAAAGTTATAGTATGATTAAAGAATCGTGTGAAGTACTGGAGAAATCTAATCGATCCACATTAGAAAAGATGAAAATAAAAACGAAAATAATATACCGACTTAATAAGTTATGAAAGGGAGAATACGGGTATTTCTTTGATCATAATCGGCATTATATCTAACTATCGTTACTAATGTTCTTATAGTTATTATTCTTATTGATTTCCTATGTGTAACATTTCAAACTTAGATACACTAAAAGAGATTCTGTGAAAGAGAATTCATTAAATTTAGTAAAATTGAGTCGTTTAAAAGCACAAACAAATCTCGAAGCTTCGTTCACGTACAAGTAAATTTGCGATCGATTAAAAATGCAAGTCAATAAAATTATGTCATGATATGCCGCAGAATTGTCTTTTTTTCTGTCAAAACAACATGGCGCATGTTCAACGAGGATAAATCGAAGTGATAAATTTGCCGCGGATGAGCGGCAGCTACATTATTCTCGATAATAAAATAAATAAGGCGTTTAGTAGACTCTATACATTTTTCATAGTAGTAATCGTGATCGGCACATTCGGACCTAAGAGAATCTCAGCTGAAGAGAAACGGAAGGATCAAAAACTTGAGGGATGATGGAGGTCGAGAGTGCCGTGAGATGGCAAACAACGTGACTATAAGGCGGATTCGTGAGAGTTTCGTACCAAATTGCTGTTCCTTACGTAGTATATATGGCAGTATCGGCATGATATATACTTTTAATTACTCCAACGTGTCCGATTTTCCGCGACGGATCGGATTCTGCGAAAAGACGACGCTCACGTACTGTCAGAACAGAAGAAAAAAAGAGAGAGATTCAAGGATCGGTGCAGGATCGTAAAAAAATTACGAAAAATAAACGGGGACGACGGAAGGGCGAAACACGGCCATGGAGATACCGCGTAGAGGGGAAAAAAACGTTAACAAATATAGGTGGACTCCGCGATGCGGATCGATCGCGCGACGAATGTCACCGTGGGAAAAAATTCCGATACGAACGAATATACGCATTTGTATCGCTTTTCGCGTGTTCCCTTTCGCTTTCTAATACAGCATTATGGCATCATTTCTGTCGTGCTAAGGCGTGCGCGCTATCGTACCACTCTTGGGGCAAGAAGGAACCACGTATTTCTTTTTTTTTCTTCGTGTCGTTCGGGGTAATTATACCTGTCAAACGCAGCGTTTCGTCTTTCACTTTATGGCAACACACGACTTCTCGTCGTTAGAATCTCTAAGACAAGATAAACCCCAGACGGATATATTAAGAACTTTTATCAGAGTCGATTCAGGTAATAAAAGTGGGATGTTTTATCTTATGGGTGGAAGGAGGGTGTGGACGTTCCATTGCCATATGCAAACATGATTCAGTGGACCCCACGAGCTATTTCTGCTCGTCCGAGGCTCTCTCTCTCTCAAGAGAGAGCATCGGAAAAATGAAAAATATTTAGTCTCTACAAAGGAATTCCTCCACGTTTTAAGAGCTGCATTTTATTTCTGAAGGAATACGGTCTGGAATATGGAAACGTCGATCGCGGTATTGGCGACACGCACGCATGGCTGCCGGTTCGCGTTTCAAAAAGATATGGCACGCTAACTGAGAATTTACTTTATTTGCTAAATGCGTTAATTGCAACTTGACGATTCATACAGCAGAAGGATTCTAATAAAAATTACTAAATGCCTGGCGAATGTGTAAAACATGATATTCACAGTTATCGGGAGTTTCAGTATTTATACATAAATTCTCGATATATTAAACACGATTTATACGAAGCAGTTATCTAAGCGATAAAATGATCCAAACTGCGAGTTTGTATACGTTTTCAATTACCATCGAGTCTTATCTTAAAAATTTGAGATACATTTATCTCGTGCAAGAAACATGCCATCAGCATTAGAAATCAATCGAAAAGAATCGAAAGATAACTGGATAGTTATCCACGAGTTCGTGATAACTGTTTAGCTTCCAACGTTCTAGGATACAATGAAACGAAGAAAGAAGCTGCGCAGAGAAAATATGTATAAAATCTTATATGTGATAAAAATATTATTTTCCGCTCGTTTGAAGCAAAGGCTATTATAATGAGGAATAGGACCAGTATACGAGAATTAATCAATGTTACAACAAATTTAAATTATATCCAGATTTATTGAATTATTGACGTTTCGTACCATACTCGGACTTCATCAGAATTGTCAATTAAGCGAATAATTAATTACTAACATATAGGGGTCAAAACGCATTCTTACATCGGTTTTATTTTCGCTTTTGTTTTATTTGAGGTTATAAATTTTTTTATTTATAAGATCTATGCGCGAGATCGTTATAGAGATCGTTATAGGGAGCGTCGACAGTACGCTATCTCCTTATTATTTTTTTTATGTTTTTTCTCTTGCTTCAGATTCACGATGGTACTTGTCGAATTAATCGAGGCTTTCATCATTGCCCTAACAATTCCATATATATATATATTATAAATACGTACGTTTTAATTTCTGGAAAAAGAGAAATGTACCTTAAATACATTTCTCTTTTTCGAGAAATTAAAACTTACGTATTTATGATATATATATGGAATTGTTAGGGCAATGATGAAAGCCCCGATTAATTCGAAAAATACCATCATGAATCTGAAGCAAGAGGAAAAACAACTTTTTTATAAAAAAAAATAATAAGGAGATAGCGTACTGTAACGATCCCTATAACGATCTCGCGCATAGATCTTATAAATATAAAAATTTATAAGCTCGAATAAAACCGATGTAAGAATAAGACATACACTCATACTTATATATATATCAAAGGAGCATGACTGACTTGAGAAGAAAGTGTTCTATAATGTTAAGTTTTTGACTTTGTGATTGCGGTACGTCTCCATGTTTAGTTAATTGCGTTTTGACCCCTATATGTTAGTAATTAATTATTCGCTTAATTGACAATTCTGATGAAGTCCGGGTATGGTACGAAACGTCAATAATTCAATAAATCTGGATATAATTTAAATTTGTTGTAACATTGATTAATACTCGTATACTGGTCCTATCCTATTCCTCATTATAATCTTATATATGTTTCAGAAATAATCGCGTTATAATTTTTTATAACGATATGTACAGTACTGGCGACCGATCGACCAAATAAATTCTAAACGATTTTGTGCAACGTATAATTTCTAGAAATGCATCGTCGTAAAATATCTTTTTGTGTTTCCCTCACATGTAATGTGGGTCGATGTGATCGCGCTACGATTAATGCTTAACACATATTCTTAATATAGGCGCCCTTTTTATCCTCTCTGCAATCGATCAATATGGTCGACGAGTCCCGCCGTTTTCGCCTCTATTGGAACACGAACGCGCAATAAAAGATCCAAACTTTTGTCAAATTCAGCATTAAACGCTCGTATCAAAAAAGTAATTATTATAATTTCTTAAAAAAAAAAAAAATAAATAAAAAAAAAGTAATAGCAGCGACGCGCGAACGAGGTTGCAGCTTAACTCCTCGCTGCTCTTACTGTCGGAGAGAAATCACGACGCCGCAACGATCCTTTTTCCCTTCCCTCCTTCCACCGGGAGACAGAATGATTAACGACATAGCAGCGGCGTTTATCGCCCACGAATTTTCACACTCTCAGTCCTGTACATGTATATACGTATACATACACGTAAATATATATATATATATATATAATATATATATACGCTCTCTAAATACGCTTGTAAATGCATCTTGGAATTGGTGCAACCTCGCCGACGGTGTCTCGACGGGATATATGCGAGAGCCGTAGTCTCGTCGTTCATTGTCCGTCACTTCAGTCACCAGCCGGGATGATTACACTCCGAAGAGAATCTTTTCGGAGATCAGCGAATACGATTCTTTAATCAGGGCGACGGAAAGGAAACTCTGTACAGGGTGTTGCAAAGGGCAAACCGGAGCGTCAAGTTGAAAAGATTTCAGCGTTCGGTGAACGGTCTATCGGCCGAGAGCCGCGAATTCGTCTTCTCTGTCTCCTTTACTCGCGTATATCTTTCTTTAAACACGATGAAATACAGCGTGTAAGAAAATACAGTTTCCTGAAGTGAAGATGAATTCGGGCGACCGAGAAGCCGTGCGCGCGAACGTCGTTGTCGCGGCTCGGATTCGCGTCGAGCTGAAAATCATAGGGGAAGCTCGGGAGAATCGTAAAAAATTACCTTCCGAGGAGGGAAACGGGAAAGAATCCTGGTAATTAAGTAAGGATATGTTATAACGGTCGTTTTAAAGCTAAGAACAAGGGAGATACATCGGCGAGGACCGATCGGGAGAGGGGGGGGGCGGGATCCGTGTAATCGAGAATCGGCCGACGTTCTGAGCGACGTTCCTCGAGTAAAACTTTGCGTTTTGGGAGAGTCTATGAGCGCGTGCCATACGGTATGCCGTAGTAATTGTTTCACCATCGACCAGCGGGATTCCGAAAAGGCGGGCGTTGATCGTCGGTGGGTCTTTACTCGGCTCGGCATCGTGAGATCGCGAGAGGAATCGGCGAAGTCGCCATCGCGCCGCCGTCGCCTCAAGCGTAGAACTCCCGATTGTGGTGAGGCGCGCCCGGCTTGGGGAAGGCTTGCGCCGCGGGCGATCTCCTCGGCTCGTCCAGGGCGTACGAACCCTCGTCCTTCTTGCGCATCCGGTACACGATGAACATGACCACTAGTATCGCGCAGAGAAGGCCCACCACCGCGCCGCCGATCACAGCTGGAAGCACAATCGAGATATGTATCTTAGATTTATTTTCGGACGGAGCCTACCTTGCGAAGAGCTATAGTCTTCGATCGATACGTGCGTTAATAATAATCACGCCGCCTCTGTAAAGACGCGGAACATGACCGAACATGATCGAGACGCACATTCGAACGAAGAGACACGAGATCTGATTTCGACCCTCTTGATACACTTGGCCGAGTTCGACGGAAAGCTTTGTCAGCTTTACACTCACCGGCTAGTACGCCTGGCTGCGCAAAGAACGAGCTAGCTCGATCCCCGGGTTTCGGATTCATGATATAGACCTCGTGGATGTCGTCGGTGTTGTCAGCGTGATCGTCTTCCGTGCCTGAGGGCTCGATTACGTTGACCTCGTTGCCGGGTCGGTTCGCGGTGTCAATGGTCGTCTGGAAATTGGATACGGCTCGATCACTTTAATCTGTTTAATTCGCGATCCCTTGTGAACGAGAAGGAGCACGTGGGTCGTCGAACAAAAATGTAAGTAATCCGTTCCGAGCGGCAAATGTCGCGTCAGCACTCTAATCGGACAAATTAGATTGCACGTCTGTGCAAAAAAATATCAAGCGCAATATCGTAAAACGTCACGAGAATATGATATACTGGTGCAATTTAAGGAATGAATTGCAATTTCTTCTTTTCCTTTACTATAGCTTCACGTGAGCCCGTGCGCTTTTCCCGCGAGAACAAATTCAACGATTTGCATTAGCAGGCAATTACCGCCCGCAATAATTTTCGCATTCCCGTGGCACGTGCAGAATATGTTCGCGAACGGAGGACGAAAATAGAATTCCATAAACTTCTTAAACGCAGAATGTTCTAGCTAGGGAGTGCTCTAGATGGGCGAAGCTAAAACCGAAGGATCCGAAATACAAAATTATATGTACGTCCAGGAACGTGTCGCGCTTACCTGCTGTTTAGTTTTGACGTTTGTCTCATCGATGATGTACGGAGGTCTCGCTTCGGTCGGCTTGCTCGGGACCTCTAATCCATTATTACCGGTAAATTCTGTAACAAAGTCACGATAAATACGTTAGAATTGATATCTCCCGCACAGGCCCGAACGCATAGATCTGTGGAAAACTTTTTTTTTCGACGTTGCGAGTAGTGCGTTCGCGAAAACTAGAAATCAAATTTCCAATCACCGTGATTGGGGATGAGAAACGATTTTACAGGATACGTGTCAAATATCGTTCATTTTTCAATATTTGAAAAAATCCTTCCGCCAACGTCGCCGCCTTTGTGACGCGCACGATATTTTTGTAACATTTTGCAATAGGCATTTTTCAACCGATCAAAATATCGTATAAAAGATCCGCAGGAAATCTCCGAGATATAAATATATACACGTCGTGATAGATTTATCGTTGAGAAACAGATTGGCCGAATAAACGTTGTATAAAAATTGCACATAGCATTTAATCTCTCTTTCATCCAGGAGAGAGACAAAGGTTCCATTGATCGACTGGTTAAAATTCTAGAGAGAGATATCGGGTGTCGTACCATGGTCGTCGTCCCCGTCCTCGTCGTCAGGGCCAAGGCCGCTGCCCGAGGCCTCGAGGTCGTCGCGATTGTCGCTGCCACCTCGGCCGGAACCCTCTAGGGCGTCCTGATCGTCTAGGTACAGGTCGTCCGGGAAGGTGTTGTAAGTCGAGCTCGCAGACGTCCTCTGTTTGCTGTCGCTCTGTTCTTTCTGATAATCAGAGAAAACGGCGAATGTGATTTAAATGATTTAATCGATCGACAAAGAACACGTGTATAAGTCCTCGTCTACAATAGGTGTTTTAAGTTCTAAACCTTAAGAAATTGATCCAATCACAGTTGATTATTCTCCTCAAATTTGACTGTGATTGATCAATTTCTTAAAAGGCTTAGGGCTTAAAACACCTATTGTAGATCGAGACTAATCGACGTTGAGTCTCTCGCGGCGAGATCTCCGCGATGTGTCCCGCAGGTCATTGACACGTCCCGCGGAGCGTTAGCTCAGATGCCGCGAAGCTCCGCGACACCCGAGCTAACGTAATTAAAGGCACGCGCATATTTAAGCGCGTCCTACTCGACGGGATTTCCGCGACATGAAAGGGTCCCGGGTCCCGCGGTTCATTAAATTTTAATTTAACTCCGCCACGAGAGATAGAAGCGATCTCTGCTCGCTTCCACCTCTCTCGCGACGATTGCCATAAGCGGAGCGCCGCGGGATTTAGCAATCTCGCACCGTCGCGTCGTCGAACATCGCCATGCAAATGCGCGCAAATTTCAGGTTCAACGGAAGTCAAGACGAGCGATGGAGGATATAGGAGAGAAGCGAGCTAAATTCCGTCGAGGAGAAAGATGGAGAAGGATGAAGGCGCGGAGACTTTGCGACAACGGGGTTCCTCCTCGTGAAGGATCAGAGCGTGGGTGGCGCGGGAGTAACGTTAACGTTGCTCCGTTCTATTTCTAGAACATCTTCATCTCTTTCTCATTGCTTAGCATCAAAATAGAAGAACGCTCTTCTTCGACGTCTCCTACGCTCCGCGTCTGACGCTTCGTATCTCTCATCGCGCATGCCTTTCGTGCGTTTAATGCGGCGTAGTAACGGGCCGCGAAAAACTCGACCGGACTCGCCGCTTTTAATTTCAGAGATATTTTTTCAAGGGCACGCGATAAAACTGCATCGCGTTAACGTGAGCAAACGAACGGCCAATCGGCTGACCGGCGGCGGTCCATAGTTTTCCCGCGTCCAACAAAGAGCGACGGCGACGAGCAGATGATTGAGGAGGAAACGGCGGAATAGCCCACGCTTCCGGTTACGTGATGTCCGCGGAATGCGAAGTGACACGCCGCGAGGAACGTGAAACGTCGAGCAAGCGAACGTGGCGAACGCCAATATTCCCGCAGCATTGTCGTTGTAAGAAAATTCCATTTTCTCGAAACGATAAAAAAAAGAAAAAGAAGAATGTATGATCGTTTTAGAAGATATATATCACTTTACGAAACTGATAATGTTAAGTGCGCGCTTGAAACAACGCACATCCCGCTCCGGGATTCTGCGTCGCGTGAGAGATCATCCGGTTGCGGACGTCACGCCGCGCGACATCGCGCGATCACGAGCGGATAGAATGTCTCATAATGACGCGATAAAAAAAATGACAGCGGGAAAAGTTACAAAGATAACGGAAAATATTTTCTCCCGTCGACCTTCGTCGCGTCAATACTCGCGATTGAATGGCGCTATTAACGAGCGCGCGTCGCGATCGATAGCACAAAATTCGCCCTCGTATCTCGTCTCTCCGCGCTCTCTCGTCCGCGCCGCGCCGCGCCGCGCCGGGACGGTGCGTTCCTCCCTTTCGCTTTTCGCCCCCGAAAGACAATGAGCACCCGATGACCGTGGAAAACGCCGCCGCGTTCAGCACGCGTCGAACACGCGTTGCGTTTCGTTTCCGTTTCATTTCTGCGCGCATGCACGCGACGACCGGTGCATTGGCACCGGGACGACACATCGTATATTCAATACGAGACTCGAGTTCGTCGAAAAAGAGAAAACCGAATTGCCTGACGCTAAACTGACTGGCAACCGACGACAAATCGCCGCTGTCGGACAAAGTCAGTCAGAAATATTAGACCTGACATAACTTTTGTAAATATTACATGTTACGCCCTTATGTTTTCTAACCTCTGATGATTCTTAACTTCTATCTTTCTGTCTCTTCGTATCTCGTATCGTCTCTCAAACAAATCTATATACTCCGTCCAACGAGAGATCATGGTTGATCAAACATAAATAATATAGGGCAAAGAGCCGCAACAAGGTGTTTGCGTTAAATTATTTTTATTTTTAATAGATATTTTCCAACACTATTAAAAATACAAATAATTTAACGCGAACACCTTGTTGCGGCTCTTTGCCCTATCGTTTCGATGAGTAGGACCATACACTTTGCGTCGATCGTTGTTCGCCACTCGAAAGAGCGCAGGTATACAACAACGTCAATAAACTACTCTCCACGCATCGTTTCTCAAGACGGATCCAGACCGAACGGACGAGACTAAACAATTACGAATAAACATGGACGGACACAGGAAGAATTTTTCTCTTCATGTACCAGAAACGAGGTGGAACGTATGTCACGTACGATATAAATTCGAACTCTCGTTCGCACTCGCGGCGCCATCCACTCTCATCGACGCATGTTCGGCCACCCTGATTTGGATCCACCCTCGGAGGAACGACGTCGATTGCGGTCACCCGGTCAGGCCAAACGTGTCGCGGAACGGATAACGAGTGGGATTCGAGAAAAGAACAACGACGACCAGTCGAGTCGTCGCCGTCGCGAAGAAACAACTAGTTACCCACAACAATAGGGAACGCAGGTGTGTCGGAAGAGAATCCTCGCAGACAGGAGCAAGGACCTGGACGTAGACGCTGGCGCGTGCAGCCCGCCGCGCCGGCGACAGCCGAGTGCGCGTCGTCGCCCGGTGTACAGTCGAATCGATACCCGGGGAACACGGCGCGGCGTCGGCCCGGTCGAGCCAAGGGCCGAGACCTTGGAAGCCCTTCGTCGGCGGGATCCCTCCCGGGACGAACGCGATGTTTTCCTTGTTCACCGACCAGCGGAGTCCCTCGATTCCTTTTTTTTCCCCACGCGCCCTCACCCTTTTCTCACCCCTCGGTCAAGCCACCCTCTGATCTTTCGTGTCGCCCTCCTGGACGCGATGGTGCTCGCGCGGGGTTTGCGCGAGCGTGCGATGCTATCGACCTCTTTCTGCGTTGCGTCTCTCCCTTTCGTCACGGTGTTCTCGTCGCGGAGAAACGTCTCGCGGATCTTGCTGGCGCATCCGCCGAACGAAGGAGGGTCCGTTGACCGACAAAAGGGATGCACTCGCTTTTTCCACCGCCGAAATTTCTCGGGAGTTATCGCGCGCGAACGACGAGGGGTCATCGCAAACGTGCGCCTGTCGATACCGCTGTACTTACCACGTCCGATTTGTTCGGGGGTTGACGGATGCGCCCGGGTTTCCGACGGCGGAAAACGAGAAAATTCAGAGGGTGATGTGCAGCGGTTTTAGGCCAGGTGGTGACTGCACCGACCTAGTACGAGTCCGACTCGGTAGACGGCACTGTCGAGATCCTCGCAACTGTATATATATATAGATACAGTTCACTGTATATATGTATATATATATTCACACTATATATCAAGACGCTTTTTAAAGTTGGCGCAAGACATCCGAGAACCTGCCCCTTGATAAATTGGAGCCTAATTGTCCTCTGGAGAGAACATTTTGCGTTTTGCTTACCGCGTTTTGCATTTCTTATGGTCTCATCCGCCTGTGTTCTGCATATATTCTAATATAGACCTGACATACCTATACCTTGTCTTATGTTTTATTTTATATCTGTGACTATTTTGCGTTCTGCTTACCGCGATTTACTTGATTTCGCCCATTTCGTGTTCATGAATATCATATTTTTTTATTTTTGAATAAGCATCATAGCAGTAATCCCGCTGCCTTACCTTTCACGTATACTCTGTCTTTCATGTTTTACATTATACCTACACAGAAAAACGTTTCTCTTACAATTTACCCTGAAAATCATAGTAGTTGTGAGACAACATGTATTACGAAAAATTATGCGAGCTATTTTGATTAATATCTACCATAATAAAAATATATTAATATCTATTACAATAAAATATAAAACATGTTTGATTAATTTTACTAAAATATATAGTACAATAATTTTTCAAAAATTGCCACTGTGCTTGGTAATTTTCATTTTGTTGTTCGTGAAATGTCTTTTGTATATTTCAATAATTCCTATTGTAGTTACCGATAATATTTGATTGGTTGCTAACTTGTCCCACATTTGTAGTGAATTTAACGGTAAAATATAACGAAAAATTCTCCCCATGTATAATCCAGCTGGTCGTTAATCAATCTCGCGGGGACGCAAAAAATTATTATTATTACTTAATCAAGTGCGAAATATTTCGCGACTTTGTTCCGTGCAATTACCAGATAGGAAAACGAACGTTAGGATGAACGAACGCGATAGAATCGCGCGTTGTATTTTCGATTTACAAGATAAACGTACGCGCGAGCACGCGCGCGATAAATCCGTCAAGAGCTTCGCGAGCCGAGCTCCGAGCGTGTTCAATAAGTCATACGATAAGGCGATTCGCGAACGGCGGGATATTGAAAATCTGCTCTATCCCGATCGGGGTAGAGCTTGTTGCTCGCGCGTACAGCCTCCCACACATCGTCACCTTATTTGAATGGACGGGATATTTCATATTGGATTCGAATCCGAGAGACTTAACTCGAGGTCTCTGGGCTGCCGCAATGCGCGCGTACCACGTCCCGAGCCGTATACGAGCTGTGCCACGGATACTTACTTTCCTTTCGCTCTCCGTCGTCGCGCCGGTTTACCCGTCGAGGAAAACGGATGGTCAACGCTCGAGAAAATGGAAAAATCAATCGCGCGATAGGCGGCGAGGCCTACCTTTTTACGACGCGCGCACGTTGACGTACGCTAGCGTCGTTACAACGTGTAACAGCGAGGCAAGAGACCGGAAAGAACGCGTGGGGTAGTATGGGAACGCGCAACGAGAGTGTTAAATTCGGTCTATTCCGATCCGAACGGTCTGTTCCCAGATATGGCTGTGACAACGATTGACGCGCGGGCGAACCCTCGCTTCCGCTCAGATT